TCTTGAGACGTTACCTGAAGATCTTGGCCGATTAGAATGTTTAGAGAAGCTAATCCTATCGGAGTGTGTAATTCTACGACATATTCCCGACAGCATCTGTAATATGAAACTTCTGCAGTATTTTCTTCTCTCTGGTTGTATCGCGATTGAGAAATTACCGGAGGGAATTGGACGATTAAAATGCTTAAGAGAGTTAAATATAGGAGGTACATAAGACATCTTCCTGAAAGCATTTTTGAGTTGCGATGTTTGTGCATTGTTGGTTATAGACGGCTTCTTCAGTCGTATGGTCTTACATCCCCGATACAAACCTCAGAAGACGGAACATTCTGCTACATAGACTGTGAATGACATTCAGGCAACCACAACAGAAGTCTCCATAGATGATTTTGAGAGGTCCAAAGGCCAAAAAAGCTAATTCACAAACAACTATATATTGTAAGAGGTGATTCTTTTACTTTTCTTTTGTTTTATGGTCACTTGCATGCTTTTTTCAGCTATTTTGTTTGTTTTCGTGTTCTTCGTTTCAACACTTCATTGAATCGAAGGATCATACCCTCAATCAGTTTTCCATAGCTGAAACGTTTTTGTCAGATGTGAAACTTCTTATTATGTTCCTGCAATCTCAACTCCCTTTTAGAAAATTACTTCATCGGTTACATCACATTTCATTCATTTTTACAGGATCTTGGACAATGTTGCCGTAACAAGGACTCTCATGTTCTATATGTCAGCATAGATATCTTGTTGGTCCGAATATTTTGCTGTTTGCTTCGTACGTAGCAACTCAAACCGTCAAGACATGTGAACCGGGTTTAGGTGATGTTTGATTAATTGATGTTTTACTTCAAGAAATGCACAAAGATTGAAGACATTATTTTGGGTTATGTTTATGTTTTGTAACTTGACATTTTTTGGTTTATGTTATGAAAGTTCCATTCACATCCATGATATCTAAATGTTACATTCTTCCCTACATAATCTTCTCTAATTCCAACCTCTTGCAACGTAAAATCCAAGCATTCTACAATCTTAACAACAAACAATGCAGGACTAGAAGAAAGCATCCATGGCCGTTTATCAAACACTTACCCGGGTAAGCGCTTACCAAGTCACATTACCTCACTGGATGAATATGACAAGGACCAAGAATGTTACCTGGTAAGAGTGAGATAAGGACCATAAGTTTTACCCGGTAAGTAAGGGCTACGACTTTTATCACGGTAAGCGCTTACCGGGTAAATTGTTGCATACAATGTTGTTTTGGTAGACTAAAATATTACCCGATAAGTAAATAATAGTGTTAAAGTTTATCCGTAAGTACTTACCGGGTAAATGTTTGGTAATCTCTACGGTTACCGCTAACAGGGAAGTTTCTTGATAAAAATGGCTTATGGTTCCACCTTCATTTTTAGCCAAGATGCCCATACAACACAAGAATATAGAGTGACAAAAGCAGATGAAGCGTCAAATATCAAGAATCGAGATGTATCTCGCTGCATTGCATGAGTACCATTTTAATATTTATAAGTATGTTTTATAGTTTTAATAAAACAAATAAAATGATAGTTTTTTAATCAAAATAAATTTACCTACTCGTATTTTAAAATTATTATAAGATATTCATATGATTGAATTCTTTATTTAAAATTCGTTTTCTTATGATGTATTTTAGGTTTTAACTTTTCTTTAATTATACATTAAATTAAACCCTTTAATAACAGAATAAAAGGAAGAATCCACGTCAGCTTTTACGTAAAAAGCTGACGTAATATATTTGATAATCTAAACTTGTGAAAGTCTAAAAAATTCAATGAACTTTAGTGTTTAGAATGATTAATTTTTTGGAATGTTTTAGACGTGTAAAACCTATTTAGATTCAAATTGTTAATTGTTTAGGTTTAAGGTTAGGTTAGGATCCTAATTTAACCCTCTTTCTGTGGTTAACATATATGTCACTATCTGTTATCTTATTCTACGGTATAATTAAAAGCTTTTGGTATAACAAGGGTGGTGTCTGATTGGTTTGAGCTTAGCTCAAAAGGTCAAAAGTGTCTGGAGGTCCCGGGTTCAAATCAAGAAGGAACAAAAATCCTCTTGTGGCCACCGAGGTTCAAATGCGGTGACTCCGGCCAGGTGGTTGCCCTAGGATTAGTCGGCTCGTATAGCGGGTTGAATATCCAGGTTAATAAAAAAAATGTTTTTTTGAACTTAGCATGTCCTTGTTGCTGTGTGTATGTATGCACACAGTAAATAAAGAGAGAAACTTCATCAAACCAGATTCTATCCATACTTTCTTTTAGGGTTAGGGATCAATCTGTAAGTTTCATATATCCACAGGGACTAAATCTGTAATTTAATGATTAGATCTTATGTATTCAGACAAAAATGAGAGGCTACTGTTTCTCCAAACAAACACACATCATTTTCACAGAGCCATTATTGGCTTCTTGAGGGTTATACATGTGAGCATCGCATCTCATATACTTTTCATTGCAATCATTCCTTACACATTAAGCCAACAAAGTTTTGATTTTGATTAATAGGATCCTTCAATGGCGTCTTCTTCTTCAACTTCATCCGTCAACAAGACCAGCTTTAAGTACTATGTAATTGTTTTCTCCAAGAACTATGCATCTTCATCGTGATGTTTGGTTAAGATTATGGAGTGCCAAAAGACACAGACTGGTATTTGGACTTAACAATCGTCCACCCCCCGCCCCTTTCATATACATATTATTTGGACTACCACCGCCCACCATCTCCATCTCCATCTCCACCTCCACATCTTCCACAACCACCACCATATGTCGACCATCTTCACGTAGTCCACACCACCATTGCAATCATTCCTTATAAAGGTGTTGTAATAAGTTTATATGACGTTTTAATATGTTTTTAGGATACTTTTAATATAAAACGTCTCGTTAGCAATTTTCTAGGATACTATTTGAAAACTGTCCTATAAAACAAGTGTCTTATAAAAAATTGAGTTTATAGGACACATTCTCAAAAGTGTCCTATAAAGTTGTTAATGTGACGCTTTATATTTAAAATGTCTTAAAATTTTGTTAAAACGCCTAAAAGCGTCATATAAACTTACTTCAACGCGTTTAGATAGGACGTTTTATATTTTGGTCATATAAATTAAGTCCTAGCTTCTACTGTAATAGAGTTGAAGAATTGCCTGAGGAACTTGGACGTTTAGGATGTTTAGAATACTTAGACATAAGAGGTACACGCATAGATAATCTTCCACCGAGTATTTTATCGTTACAAGGTTTGGAAATTTTTCGGTCTGAAGACAAATCACCCGCAACTACATCTACAGTAGCATGGTAAACACTCTTTCTTATCATCGGTTACTTTTTTTTTTTGCTTAACATGTTATCGTAAAATATTTAGCCGCACGTTTTACGGCCAATCATGGGTTTGCAACTTGGTCGACACTCGCGGTACATATAGTAGCTCCTAAGAATCTCGGCTGTTAACTTTTTTCTATATTGTTTGTGATCACTACGCATCTGCATCACATTTTGCTAAAAACGGGATATAGAGATGAAGGCGGGGTTTAAGTTCCTTCATTGTTGTTTGATTAGCCGGGAGAAGCTGAAGTGAAATAAGACTTCAGACTTCAACACCTCTTAAAAAAACAATGAGTATATATATAAAAACATGTGTACAGCAGCAACAGGATAAATTACACCCAATTTCTCAAATTACATACATACATTCCTGAAAGAAGGGCTGCTAACATGTATTTATTTCATCTCAAGTTGTTGGCTGAACTTAAATGGCTGCAAAAAATAGAATTTGGAAAGCAATTCTGCTTACTTATATTACTAGAGTTGGACCTTCGAACCAGCTTTCAAAACCAAGATGACTTCTGGATCTTCTATGTATAAATTTTAGGTGAGAATGTGTGGAACCTCAGATTAATCTCCAAAACAGCCCTTTAGGAGAGATGGGGGTTCTGATATATATAGAGCAAAAATGGTCCAAATCTAGCCGATGTGGGACTCTAACAGTTTATGAATTGATTTGACCAAAAAAGATGAAGTCATTTTACCCATGGAGGTCTTTCCCTGGGTTTCGTAACTCTTTATATATAAAGCATGTAGGAAGATTGCTAGTTGGCACCTACAAGTCATATGAAGAATTGGAAGTTATAATGCAAAAAAGACAAAACCACTAGAATAATACGTTGGACTGTAAACGAATCGAACGGACACAAACGGTGGTTTGTTCGTGTTCGTTCGTTTAATTTAACCGAACAAACACGAGCAGTAAACGAACATAATTTTTTTGTGTTCATGTTCGTTCGTTAAGAAAATATGTTTGGTCGTGTTGATCATTTATGTTCGTTCGTTAAGAAAATATGTTTGGTCGTGGTCATTTATGTTCGTTCGTTTAGATGCTAAATGAACACAAATGAACCACAATTAAACAATAACAACTCATCATCTTGTTCCCCAAAACAACATAACAAAATGAAAAACCGGGTAAATTTAGGAGGGATGGAAAAGGAATTGTAAAAAATTAACTTAATGATTTTACATTCTAATATCAACAATATTAAATTTTAACATATATAAAGAAACATAAACGAACGTAAACGAACGAAGAAGATATTGTTTATGCATGTATTAGATAAACGAACATTCAGTCAAACGTTTACGAAACGTTCGGTTCATTTAGAACCGTAATAATATGTTTTTGAGTTTTAGAGGTGAAAGACACCACCTCATTAATCTCTATAATATTTTAAGACATTAACATACTGTCTTCTCCACTTTTTGAGCCACTGATGTATACAACACCACATTTTGGGCCATCCTTATCAACATTTTTGTGGCCCCTAAATACTTAGATTGCATTTTTATACTTCAACTAAAAATCTTATCTTTTTTTTGACCAAGTAAGAAGTTTTGGATTCTCCACGTCATCCAAACAGCATCATATTCACAGTACGAGTGCTAGCGACCATTATTGCCTTCCAATTTCATTCAATTTTCTTTTCAATCATATTCCAAAGGATCCTTCAAGCAATAACCTTAATGGCGTCTTCTTCGACTTCATCCGTTCAGATGAGCTTTAAGTATGATGTTTTTTTGAGTTTTAGAGGTGAAGACACACGTAAGACATTCATTGATCATCTCTATCATGCTCTTCAGCACAAAAGCATCCACACTTGCAAAGATGACGAGAGAATCAAGAAAGGGGAGAGGATCGGTGATGAGATCATCGAATCCATTGAAGACTCAAAGTTCTATATAATTGTTTTCTCCAGGAACTATGCATCTTCTTCTTGGTGCTTGGATGAGTTTGTAAAGATTATGGAGTGCCAGACGATGACTGAGCATAATGCTTATCCCGTCTTCTATGATGTGGAACCCACTGAAGTCCGCTACCAAAGTGGGGAATTTGGAAAAGCTTTTGCTAAACAAGAAAAGAAAGAGGATGCTGAAAAATGGAGAAAGGCTCTAAAAGAAGCAGCCGATCTTTCTGGGTTTGAGTTGAAGAACACTGCAGATGGGTAATTCATCCATATCATTTCGTACTGATTCTTTGTAATCTACCTTTACCCTAAGATGTGAAACGGTCATCCATGCGAGATCATGTTGTGTTGTCAAATTCTAACTCAAACCTGAGTCCCTATTGAAAGATAAAACATGTGATATGATTACATGACTCTCTTAATGACTTTGTATTCACATGTATGTTATAGATCTGAAATTTAAATGAATTGTTCATGTGGGATTTTGAGCAAGCTAATTTTGTCTTCTTTAAATACACAGGCATGAAGCTAAATTTATCCAAAAAATTGTGGAAGAGATCTCA